AATTTTTTTTGTTAATGAAGTACGATTGGGGTTTGTCAATTATAAATAGTATTTTTTATCACCTATCTATGTAAAAATCAACAACCTCATTCTATTTTCCTCCTTCTCCATTAATTTATTTTTAGTTTCTTCCTTTATATTCCTTAATATACAAAAGACATAATATATATTCTGTTTTTCTGCTCAACTGTGTCCTTAACGCTTGTTTTAGTTTAGTTTTACAATTACATTAAATATATTAAATAGGCCCTCCCTGGTGGCGCAGCGGGTTTAAGCACAGCACTAAGAAGCTGGGGCCACTTCCATATGAGTTCGATCCCCGCCTGCCCCGGAGGTGACCACATGGCCTGGCAGACCTCTCCTGACCCGCCTGCTGCTCCCCTCGGTGGTGTGCTTCGTCGATCTGCCTGTCTGCTCCCCACTCTGTCTCTGGTGAATCGCTGACCCTCCACATCTCTGGCTTGTACCCCAGTTCTGTATGAATAAATAAATAAATCTTAAAAAATAAATAAATATATTAAATAGACACTATCAGTCTATTTACTGAATTTTCTCCGGTTTAATGAAATGCATTCTCATATATTTCTCAGAGAATCAAATTTTGTGTAAAGTCCTAAATATTTTTTATGCATTTTATTAGGTTTTCTTATTAAATGTGCATTCTATACTGTTGAACTAGTTTAAACCTAGACTACTAGATTTTTTTTGCCAAAGAAAACAGTTATCAGCAATTTAACATTTATTGAAGAACTTCTTTGTTCAGTGAGAATAGGAATTATGATGGGAATTAAAAAAAGGTGATGATACCTCTTTCTGTCTTCCTAAAGGATGGATGCCACACTTTCCAAAATAAGGCATGTACACACGTGCACATGCTCACACATACATGTACAAAACACAAAGTTCCTGTTTCAGACAAGTAGATGAATATGGTAAAAACTGGGTAACTGATTATATAAGAAAAAAAGGATAATGAGGGACCAGATATACTTTGGAGTTAACTGGAAGATTTTTAGAGACATAGTGAAATGAAATTAATTTTTGTTTGTTCTTTTAACTGATTTTTTTAATTAATGAAGTACCACTGGGTTTTGTCCGTTTTAAACAGTATTTTTTATCACCTGCCTATTACCTATGCAAAAATCAATAACTTCATTCTGTTTTATTATCAGATAAAGTAATCCCCTAGTTTGATTAAATGCTTTCTGTTTTACAAGGATTATTTAGCCAATGCCTATCAATATATTGCTAGAGTATTTACTTAAATGACATCCTTTAAAAATTGTTTTTAAAAGAAGTAAATGGGGCCCTCTCTGGTGGTGCAACAAGTTAAAGCACAGCAATATGAAGCTATCCACAGTCACTGCAACATGAGTTCTATCCCTATCCAGGGAAGTGACCTCTGTGGGACAGCAGACCTAGGCTGACCCACCCTCTGCTCCCCTCAGCTGTGTATTTCAGTCAATCTGCCTGTTCTGCTCCTGAATCTGTCTCTTGTGAATCCTCTCACCCACCTCCTCCCCGCACCTCTGGCCTGTACCTCAGCTCTTGTATGCATAAATAAATATTTTTTAAAAAAAAAAAGATAAATGATTACAGGTAGGGAACATTCCAAGTTGACTAAAAGACATAAGAAAAAGTTTCTGGGTCAGAAAGGCAAATCAAGAACAACAGGAAGGTTGGTAAAAATAGGTATTTGTTTGTATAGAGCTAGTGAAAAACTAGGCAGTTTCATGAAAAGAAAAGGGGGAGGTAGGAAGGGACTTTTAAATCAGACAGAATCACTCCAATACCAAGAGCAAGGACAAAAGGTTTGAATTACACAGGTAGCCAATGATCAGCATGTGGCAGAATAAACACAATTCTATACATATTGTGTCTGTTTCCATTTCTTTTTAACTGAGTAATTCTGCAGTGGTTAAAAATAGTGCTGTAACAGCTACTTTTGGTACAAAAATTTAAAATTGTAAGTGAAAAGTCATAACTGAATTTTGTTAGAATTTTGGGAATCTCGTTTAAAGTATCCATTAAAATTTTTTAACAAAGCAACCCAACATCCCCAAAACAGATCACTGGATTAAGAAGATTTTGTGTGTGTGTGTATGTATATATATATATATATAAATATATGTGCAATGGAATACTATGCAGCAGTCAAAAAGAAAAATCATGCCATTTAAGGCAACATGAATAGATCTAGAAGGGATCATGTTAAGTGAAATAAGTCAGAAGGAAAAGCTAAATATTGGATGGTTTTACTTACATGTGGAATACAGAGAAACTGAACAAAGAGTCCAAAAAAGACAAAACTTGCAAACTCACCACAGATCTGAGGCATACGGCAGGGGAGAGGGAAGGAGATGGGTTTAGACAGGGGAGGGAAGAGCACAGGGATTATAGTAATGAATCAGGATGCTACTGTTTACAATCTACATATCTTCCATGACTTATGATGGTGTCACATCTCAACAAAGCCCCTGTGAACTGAAAATATTCTAAATGGAAAATAAATTTAATATAGCTAACTTACCAACCATCAGCACTTAGTCCAGCCTACCTTAAACATAATCAAAACATTTACACTCGCCTACAGCTGTGCAAAAATCTTCTAATACAAAAATAATCTTTCAAACCTATTTTATATATAAAAAAGTTTTATAATAAAGCATTTTGTAGACGTGGTGAGATGTGAAACACAAAACACAACTTTCAGAAACGCTGGTAGCACAATACAGGGCACAGCCCCAGGGTGTCCCCTTGTGGATGTGTGGCTGATTGGGCGCAGAGAGCCAGCATCACAAGAGCGCCTGCGACTCATACTGCTGGGCTGATAGCAGTAGATCAAAACTGAGAGCTGAAAGTCTGGTTTCCGCTGAGTGCATATCACTTTCGCACCACTATCCCTAAGTGGAGCCATGGTAACTTGGGGACCATTGTGCTTAGATACATACACACACCTTAGTAGAGTTAGCTTTAAGCAGTAAATCAGGTTCACATGGGAACAGAGGCGTGCTCAGGAGAGGGAATGCTTTCTTCATTCAAGAGACAATGGCGGGCAACCACCATGCATCAAGGTGAAATGATGGACCGAGGATCCCGCCCAGAAGAAGGGAGGGAGAAGTCTGCGAGCCAAGTGTCAGGTCTTGGAAAGGGCTTCCCTGTGTGTGTGGCACAGACTATCTGCGGAACTGCCAGCCAGCCTTCCTGGAGAAGGAAAAGGAAACTCCCTGTGTGCTGGGTGTCAAGTTACAGTCTTGCCCCCCTTAATCTTCTGTTAAAACTACAGCCCACTCCAACCAGATGATGCTCTCAGAGAAGCCAAGATCAAAATTTTCTATTTCAGCTTTTTTTTTTTACAAACTGATTTGCAAGTAGGCCTGACTTCAAAGATCTCATTAGGTCGGCCTTGGCTGTTTATAGGAGCAGGGGTCACTCATGGTCTTATTATTTTTCAAATTTAATCTCACGTTTCTATCTTTCCAATAGCATCTGGACAATCTTTCAATTCTTGTCTGGTGATAATGAAATCATTAAAAAATGTACCAGAACCCTTTTTGCTTATCTCTGTGCCATTTGGAACATATGTGAATAAATTGAACACCACTTGCTCATTGGTTTTCTTTCTTTTCTCTCCCCTTGTTTTTAAAAACCCTGTTTGAATTCAGTTACTAAAAGAACGCGGCATCTGAGTTAAGTATGATGCTGGGAGGTATGTTTCAATGTCCTCCACATGGCCTTGATCTAGACAGCAAGCCACAATCTACCCAGCACATTTTTGTGGCTTAAGTGACCTAGAGTCTGGGGCCTTGTCTTTGCTGAAGATTTTCTTAAGGTTCCCAGTTGATTTTAGAGCAGTAATAGCCACCCTAGGTCAGGCAGCTCACAAATAGTTTGTAGCTGGCAATGGGAAATCTAGCTATACTGTTGGGATTGGTAGCTAAAATATCTTAGAGTGCTAGACATACATCAAAGAACATCTTTCCCTTTCTTGGTAACCACGTTGCCAGCCTGTTCCAGCCACGGGCGGCTTAAGCAAGGAGAACAATTTTGGCTCTTCCCAAGAGAGGTCTCCCTGGAGGATGGGAAAGACTTTTCCAGAAGGAGCTTACTCCAAAGCATGAAAGGTTCAGCCTCCAGCCTATCATTCAAAAAAGTTTTTAAAGCCTTTTTAAGGAAACAGTTTAAACCCAGCTGCACTTATCGATCAGTGATTTGATTTTGCTTTGTTAGGAAGGATTTGTAATCTGCTTTTAAATGTTTTTTGTTCCTGGCCTTCATTGATAGCAAGTTCTGCCTGAGGCTACTTCTCCAAACTTGCCAGTAGAGACTTCAAGTCTATGCGAATAAACAAGAATAATTTTAATCTGGACCTCATCCTCTCTCCTTTCTGCAAAGAAGGAAATGTTGAGGGAGGTGGGGGATGTGGGGGTGTGGGAGTATATAAGAATTTTTCATCCAATTCTGCAAAACCTAAAACCTATAAAAAAAAAAAAAAGGAGTTGTTTGTCTTTAAATGAGAAAGCAGAGTAAGGGAGAAAATTCTATTTACAAAGAAAGAGTCAAGTGATTTCATTTTCTCAAATATCAGTCTCAAAAACCATAGAAAGTCTAAAGCCTTGTCCCTGCCTGGTGCCTGCTAGAGTTAAAAAGTAAATTCTAAAAAATACCTAAATCATTGCCGAATCATTGATTTTTGCAAAAAAAAAGATTTTACAGAAATGTTTTATTTTATAACTCTTAAAGATTGTCATTACACCTTTAATCATATTTGGAACCATTAATCTCATGTTCTCTCAACGGGTGTAAAATAGTGGTTGTTTTCACTATTACAGTGTAAACTAACAAATAGAAACTGTGCTCCTAATTTAACTAATCATGTCTGATATTTCTCCAGCTTATAGAAACCCAAAATACTTAGCCGATGCCTGTTCTTTGATTTTTTTAAATAAATGCACACACATGTTATTTTTTTATAATGTAAGCATCTGTTTACACATGTATGATCTTTATGAGTTTATTTAGCAGGAAACCAAATATGTGAGGAAAACAGACTTTTCAAGCGGCGCCTTAATTGTCTTTTATGCATGTTCTCCAGATCGTTACAGAGTGTTTACAAGTCCTGCATGGAATGGCCAAAGATGAGGGTAACAGATCTTCATTGTTTATAAAAATGACAGCTTCTAATGGACCATATTAGCTTTAACACAAACTATTAAATCCCCTTCATTAATTTTTTCTGTTCTGTTTCAGTATCTCGTTAGCTCTGGGAAGTAGGTGCAAACTCCCAAGGAAACTCGAGCACACATTGAGACGATTAGAGATCATGGTTATTAGATAAGCCTCAGGAGGATGTTTTTCTTGGGCTGCTCACAAGCATTTTGAAAGAGTTGTGTTCCAGGTTTGAGGTCCCCTATTTCTTCCTCTTAAACTATGAGCAGCTGTAGCACATGACCTACTTCTGTAGGGCCCTGTAATGATTTCCTTCCTTCGGAGGCTTCAGGAGTCCTTCTGCCCTGTGAAAAAAGGGACAAATATTTTAATCCAAGCAAAATGCTGAAGCAGGTTTTGTTGGTTTCAGGGAAGAAACTCAATACAGCTCCAGTGTGGAGTGTAGGCCTCAAATTGGAACCATCTGGGCGACAGAAGGGCTTGAGACCTTTGGGGAAGGCAGGGACAGTCTTGCCTAGGGCTGCAGCCCATACACCTGCAGAAGACCACGGCGGACTCACCCGAGAGGAGCTTGTTACACAGCAGAGCCGCTGCCCGCTCTGGCAGCTCGAAAACATCAAGTAAGAAGGTGACCACTGCTCAGACAGGACTTATTAAGTGAAAATTCCTCCTAACGACAGAAAGGCCTCGTTATTCTCTTGGAACGTATCTGACACGAATCAGACAGAATCACACGTTTTCCTAACTAGTTTTTAGAGGTCATGGGAGAAAGTCTTTGGGAAACTATAGGTTGGTATGCGTAGAATTCTTACAGTTATCTTTAAAGCTAGGGATAATAAAAGGTGTTGAAAAAGCGAGGCATGCATGTTTTCTATTCTCTGATTCTTTTCATTTTTCTGGTTACAGTACCGCTCTTGTTGACTAGCTCTATTTTCCAACTAAGTGAAAGTTCTTTTCTAGTGTGCTCTAATGACTGAACATAAGAGACAAAGGCCAGCCCTGGGGGAGGTCACTTGAAATGAAATATTTTTGAACACACACACACACACACACACACACACATAGTACGGCAGAATCTACATGAGATAAGAGGATCACCCTATTTTTAAACAGAAAAAAGTGAGGTGCTTTATTAGTCGAAGGTCAGAAATGTTATGATTCAATTTTAAAACCAGCTCATAATAGACTTTCTGGAATGAAAATGGGATCTAAAGAACAGATGGAAATTGTACACAAGCTGACCACTTAATAAATATATTTTCCAAGTACTGGTTGGATGAGGAATATGTCATTTCTAATCTGAGTTTTAAATTATTTACTGAATTTAGAAGCATAATGATTGCAGTCTGGCCATTAGAGGATCCTAAATTACATGGCCAAATTTGACACCCCATGAGTAAGGGCCCCATGATAACCTCAGCACAGAGGTCAAAAAGGGACATAGTGAGAAAGGTTCAGTCATAGAAAAAGGTAGCAATCCTGGAAAACAGAGGCTGTTGAAATTTTGAATTCAGTTATAACTTCAGAAGTGTATATTTATCTGCCTTTCTCAAACCAATTTTATTAAATAAAAGCTGATGGAACACACATTTTTGCTTATTGTAATTAAATTTACTGGCTTATGGAAAAAATTCTATTGCTTCATGAAAATCACACAATCGAGACAGATAATATCCACAAGGTAAAAATGTTTTCTATATTTTTAAAGAATTGTCAGCAAGAATATGCTATTTTTAATCCTCAGAGGGAATACAATATCAAAAATAATATTCGGAGAGCGAAGTTCATAGAACGTCTCAATTCTTCTACAAAATTCTAAGAATATAGAGGTTGGGACACATTGCAGGGTTGACACCGCTGTGCGTGTTCAGTTGGCAAGGTTCTCGCACGCACACTTTTCACAAGCCCGCAGGCCGGGTTGTGTGCATTGGGCTTACTGTTTTTTGCCCTGTTCCAAATTTATCTGCATGAATCTGAATTTTTAACCAAATCTTTGTTCCTTTCCTCTCGAGGATGCTTCACGCTCCTGCCTACGCACCCAGCTGCACCCACGTACATGTTCCTCCCTCCTGGGCCCCCTCCCCCAAGCCTGCACCGCTGTGCAGACACAGCGTGAGGTTTAATGGAGCTCAGCGCGCTTCCCATTGCGCGTCCTGTGTAGTCAGTCAGCTGAGGCTGGGAAAGGCCTGCCACCACACGCCAGGAGTCCCGTGAAAATCAGATGGGGAGCCCCGCGTGGGGGCAGCTTGCCTTTCCAGCTTATTACTTGAATACCTTTGATATGGGCTTGAATTTCTCCAGAAAACACTGGCACCATCTCATTCCGGGAGTCCTGGGAGACAGCCCATACCCGGATTTGGGCCAGGCAGACACAGCAATCGCAATGGGCTGTGGATTTCTGAAAAGTATCGATGCCTGGACTCAGGAAATTCAGATATTCTGCGGGGATTCCTCATTAGTATTTTTAAATGTAGGTTTTGATATCATCAGCTTGGCCCCTAACGTAAAGCAATCATTATAACCATCACAAGGCAACAAAATCAAAGTTTCCGATTGTTTTATTTGAAAAACACTACTGTCCACAAACAGGAACTAAGTGTTATAAATGTATTACACACCTATCACACGTGAGAAAAGCCCATCCTGTTCTTTCAAAAGGTTGAAACAGTTGGGAGTAGGTGATTTTAGATTGATTTATGTACTGGGAAAGTATTTCTGATTTAAAGACATTTTTTTTTTCTTTTGGCCAAATGGCCAGGAGGTGATGAAGACCAACTTCCCAGTCCTTCACTGCCAAATCTAACTGCCTGAAAACTTACAGAAATGCTTGATTAAAACTAGAATAAAAATCTCCAGTTGCCGCCAGCAAACCACAGCACAAGCACAGGGTGGGAAGACAGTACCAGGTTGCAGTTTAAGTAGAGTTACTTGGCGCCTGCTGAAAGTACTGCTCCCTTCCTGTTTAATAATTAATTCAACTTTTAAAGCCCCAAGGATCTGGACTCAGCACCAGCTTCACAAAGCAGTACAGAAACAAAATGCTTCCAGAACTGGAGGGGGGATAGAGGAAGAAAGAATCTAACATTTCAAGAAACATCACCACATGGGGCCGGCGAGTGGGGGGTAGGATTTGGAGATGGAAAGAACCAGGGTGGAGAAATTCAAAATAAAATAAATACACACAAAAGCAAGGTTATTCACGGCCACTGGCACCAGGACCCAGGGTGGGAGGTTGGGAGGGGGAGGGGGGTTGTGGGGGGGAGGCACAGTTAGCCAGAAGTCATCCATTCAGGAAGCAGACTGGGTGCCCGTAGGTAAGTGGGGACCAGAGAGTCATGGGCTCAGTCTCTGGAAAAGGGGATCTTCAGCTTCACTCTTCCTTAGTGACGTTTCTCATTAGTCTGAGCCTTCGGCTTGGAAAGTCAAATGTAGGCATCGGTCCCTGCCTTTGCCCCTCATCCTCCACCATCCCTCCAGCCCCATGATTCTGCTAAATGGCCAAGGAATACACTGACAGAAAGCAGTCGTGGAGGAAAACGTGGACACACACGGAGACAGGCAGCTGCAGGAGAGTGGGAAGGAATGACTGAGTAGTAGCGCTCTGTTCTTTAAGAACAAAACAAAAACCAGGTTACCAGCCTTAAATATTTACTTGTAGACGTTCACCCAACACAGCATTAGGTAGCTGCAAAAAGCAACCGAACATCCACTAGGGTGCCTTGCATGGTGCTTTGCAAATTTTATAAAGCATTTGCTTTCTTTAAGCTGGCGCTTCCACAAAGTATTATCACACGCTATGGATGCTTAAGCCGGTGGAAGTTACTAACAGCTCCTCAACGCCAAGCACACACAGGTATGAGGAAAGTTTCCATGATGATTGTGTCAAGGACCACCTCTAACCGTGCAATTCAGTATCAACCCACATGATTTGACCATTGTTTTGTGTACAAGAAAGCCTAAGTATCCCAAAGCATTACCAAGAGGTGATACGCACCAGCAATGAACACATTAATTAAGTGAAGTGAAGGCTGGCTGGTCAAAGAAAAGGGAACAGTTACTTAATCACCAAATTGTATTTACCTTTTGTTTATTGTATTATAAAGAAGACATGACATAGAACATTCACAAGTATCCTTGGAGACTTAAGAGAGGACTTTGAAAAAGACATTCCCATAATTAAATGGCTGAGTTAAACAAATAATGACCTGAATATTTTTCCTAATGCTTAAAAATGGATTTTATCATTCTGCAGTTTCAGTGTTTTTCAGTTATCAAAACTTGATGGATTTTCTTTATATTCAACTATACATGGATAGCTACATATAAATACACACACACAAGCACATTAGCTCCAAAATGTTTAAATGACACCTCCTTCTGTGTCTGTTTCCTCCCACGTCAAATTGATAGTGTTGCCTTGAAAGCACAGCAGCTGTCTTTTAAAAATAAATCTTATATTCCTCTTGAATGACCCCTTAGAACTATGCCAGACTCAAGTTTGAAGCTAGTTTCCAGTTATTGAACAATTCGAAAACCAGAACATCAATACGTTTTCTCTCTTCTTGAGTAAGTGAATGTCTAGCTGCTGTTATTTACTTTTTACATTTCAAGTTCACATGCAAGCAAAATGTCCTGTGTTTGTGTAAGTCTCTGAGTGGTTTGGGTCAGTAGGGGTTGCTGATCTCCAACGAGTTGCCTAACCTTGCCATGTTTCAGTTTCCTGAGCTATGAAAGGGGAAAATTCTCATTCTAACTTCACAAGGTGTTGAGAAGGAGTGAGGGACCTAACAAATGTAGAAGAGTTATTTTAGCACTTCTTGAAACTCGCCTCCAATTCAAGAGCAGAGATAGTGGCCCTTCCTCCCATGCCGGTGACATCTGCCTTCACTAACACTCCTGGGGGGTGATTATTGAACCCATCTGGTGTGCTCCCTTTCATTTTACAGCATAGGTAGATTTTAAAAGAGTTGCCAATTGAATTTCTATAAAACTAATCATATTTTCACTACATGAGGGGAACAGCTTATTTAGTGGAATCTGGACGGTGAATCCTTTTCTTAGAGTGGCAAATTCCTTTGTGGGGAGAATAATTAGCTCTCAGCTCTTTAATTTTTTTTTTTTTAACTAATCCAGATTTATTTGCATGAGGTAGGTTAGTCAAAGAATATTGGACTATGAGAGCCACGTGAGCTTCTGGGTTGGTCCAGTGGCTGATCTGACCAAGCTATGGTATAACATCCAGGCATGAGTTTCTATCACAGCTGAAGAAGGAAGTGTACTACCTACAAGTTTGGAGTGCACTAAGGAATCCTGGTTTTTTTTTGGGGGGGGGTGACTCACACCCCTGCTAAGTTGGTCAAGGTCACAATAACTACTGAGACATGAATTAAATGGACCAGGGGAGTTGTAATATCCATCCTGTCCCACAACTCCAGGTAACTCACGGAGTTGCCAACATCCATGATAGCCCTCTGTGACTGTCCCCACTCAGCAAGTGTTGATGGCCCATTCACCCCCATCCTCCCTGACATTTTAATGCAACCCATGGGGAATCATTTAGAAGATACCACATATGGATAGAAATGTGTTCCTCCAAAAGGAAAAGGGTGGCAAGGGGATTAAAAAAATGAACATAGGGCCCTCCCTGGTGG